TTGTATTTTAACATTTGCTCCTCTCCCTTCCACTCATGTTCTATATATCTAGGGCAGACTAACCAAGAGGGCTTCTTTCTTTTCTTGTTTATTACATAAGAACATAAGAAAGAAGGAACACTGCAACAGGCCTACTGGCCTATGCGAGGCAGATCCAATTCTCCCACCGGCTTAAGCCAATGCCTTGACCTAGTGAAGTCAGACACGTCACTTGAGGAAGGAACACTGCATCTGACCTATTAGCACAAGCTAGTCAGGTCCAACTCACACCCACCCACACCCACTCATGTATTTATCCAACCTATTTTTAAAGCTACACAACGTCTTAGCGTCTATGACGGTACTCGGGAGTTTGTTCTACTCACCCACAACTCTATTACCAAACCAGTGCTTTCCAATATCCTTCCTGAATCTGAATTTTTCCAGTTTAAAGCTATTGCTGCGAGTCCTGTCTATGTTAGATATTTTTAGCGCGCTATTTACATCCCCTTTATTAATTCCTGTTTTCCATTTATACACCTCAATCATATCCTCCCTAATTCTACGCCTTTCTAGAGAGTGCAAATTCAGGTAAGATTTCTGATACATGGGATCAACTTTGTCACCCTCCTTTGTACGTTTTCCAGTGCATTTATATCCATTCTGTAATATGGCGATCAAAACTGTGCAGCATAATCTAAATGAGGCCTAACCAAAATTGTATAGAGTTGAAGAACAACCTGAGGACTTCTATTATTTATACTTCTTGCTATGAAGCCAAAGATTCTGTTCGCTTTATTGCGAACACTAATGCACTGTTGTCTTTGTTTTAGATTACTGCTAACTAGAACTCCTAAATCCTTTTCGCAATCCGTAATAAGATCTACATTATTTAGTTTATATGTGGCATGGTTATTTTCCTGTCCAGTATTTAGAACTTTGCATTTGTCTATATTAAACTGCATCTGCCACTTCTCCGACCACTGCATCAGTCTATTCATATCATCCTGGAGTGTCCTGGTGTCATCAGCAAATCTGCCTGTGTTGCTATATTCCCTCATCTACGTCGTTTATGTAGATTGTGAACAATAAGGGGCTCAGCACTGACTCCTGTGGAACACCGCTTGTGACATGCCTCCGTTCTGATTTCTCCCCATTTATACAAACTCTCTGCTGCCTATTTGTCAACCATGCTTCTACTCAGGAAAAAATTTCTCCTCCTATTCCGCAATAGCCTCTGATGTGGAACTCTATCGAAAAACTTACTGAAGTCCATATACACAATATCATATTCGATACAATGATCTACTTCCTCAAATACCTTAATGAAGAAAGTTAGTAAATTCGTAAGACAGGAACGCCCCTTTGTAAAACCGTGCTGAGATTCATTAGTTAATTTATGCCTTTCAAGATGGCTACGATTTGCTTCGGAAATTATTGATTCCATAAATTTTCCCACTATGGAGGTAAGGCTAATTGGTCTATTGTTCGAAGCAAAGGACCTGTCACCCACCTTGTAAATAGGTATTACATTTGCCATTTTCCATTTATCAGGCACTATGCTAGTTTGTAGTGATATGTTGAAAAGATTAGCCAAAGGTTGGCTAAGTTCCTCTTTACATTCCTTTAACCCTCCTGAGTACTTTCCTGAAAACTGTCCAAGGTCCCATATCCTTATTGCAGATTCAGAAACACCTTGTTATCTGAATGCCATTTTTTGAAAGTGTGTTTATTCTTGCATAAGAGATATGGTGCTTTGAAAAGCATAGGTTGCAAGTGAGCCTGGATTTTTTCCCAAGAACCTTATCATATGTCCCACAAGTATTCCTGCATGCAATCCTGCCTGGTGGCTAAAGCTCTCGCTTCACACGGCGAGGTGCTCAGGTTCGATTCTCGGAGAGGGTAGAAACATTGGGCGTGTTTCTTTACACCGGTTGTCTATGTTCCCCAGCAGTAAAATGGGTACCTGGGTGTTAGTCGACTTGTGTGGGTCGCATCCTGGGACAAAACTGACTTAATTTGCCTGCAATGCTCTGCATAACAAGCGGCTTTCTGTATAGTAGTATGTCATTGACGTCAGCTAGGCTTGTATACCATGCACATGTACTTGTAGAAATAAATATATTATTTATTATTATTATTTATTTATCCTACTTGCAATTTAGGTACCTTTCTGCTCTGCGTGAGGAAGGGAGACAGAGGAGCATGGCGGTAAGGTATTTGAGGGATGTCTGATACTGAGTATGTGAAGTGTAGTTTAATACTGTGACTTACTACTTTACATTTATGATGTATAACAGCACAAGCACTTTTCCAGATCGGGTACATTTCCTAATCCTCACACAAAGCACAAGTCAAGTACATGATTTCCATTCTAAGGTTTGTTTAGTGTGGTATGTGGTGGGTGGTATGTTGGTACAGTGAGGCCTATGTGGGTCCCCGGGTGGGTAACGCTGCCAGACGTATGACGGTGACAGAAAAAACTACTCGCGACTACTGGATCTATGTGACACTTTTCAGATGTGATGCCACATTTTAGTTTAAATGAACTTTATGTTAAATCACTATCCTTGTAAGAAGTTCCACTAACGATTAAGATTCACTAGGTTTTTTGCACTATGTATCGGTACCTAAGTCATTTCATTATATGGGATAACTCAAACCTTTGTGCGTGAACGTTGAGGCATGTGTCAACCCTCATCATGGGAATGACACATGTCTCAATGTTCACTCAAAGGTCTGAGTTATTACATATAATGAAATGACTAGGGTACGATACAGTGCTAAAAATCTAGTGAAGAGAGAGCAAATGAAGAAGGTAACAGCAAATTTAGGCAATGAAAAATTAGATATCAGACTGGAGGGAATATGGAGGAAGTGAATGTGTTCAGATATTTGGGAGTGGATTTATTAGCAGATGGGTCTATGAAAGACGAAGTAGTGAAAAGGGGAATGAGAGTATTGTTGTGCCAGCAAGGAGACTGGAGGCAGAGAAAGATGTTACAGACCACTTCTGCGACAAGTTTTCATGCACGGCCACAGCCCTGGAAGCTTTCGTGTTTCATCTGTTCTCATTCTCAAAATAAATCCTAATGAAGTAATGAAAGTGAATGAACAAAAGGATGGAGAAGGACGTAGCATGTCCACTGCTGAACTACTGAGCTTCGAGGTTTTCATTAAGATTTCACTTACTGCACATATGTGCCGTGTCTGCATCAGAAGCCACTAATTGTGACCTTACTCTCTCTCTTCCCAGATTTGATACACTTGACGTGATGCTATTTCATAGACATAAATTATTAATACTTATTATTGTCTCTAAGAAATTCACTTTAACGATATGTAATTGGGAAATATTATTACTCAATATTATTACTCATTATTGCACTTCAATACTTACTGAGAAAGATTTATAAATCTGAAAGTCATGTATCATATACAAAAAATAAATATATCATATATAAATTTTTACATGGAAAATTCAATATTTTCCTCACCACGAGACCAAAGGAACGGTATTATAGTTAACTACAATGACAACTGTCCATCATTAATAGCCTATTTACTTTCAATAATTAATATTTCAGTGCAGGTAGGTCGATCCTCAGGCGAAGTATTGGTCGTAGGTTCCTCGTGGGGAACGTTTTGATTTTCTATGGGTCTTCCCTACTCAATAAAAAAAATAATTTTTGAAGAACATAAGAACCTGCTTCAGGCCAGTAGGTCTGAAGCAGGTTCTTTCTCATATCCAGCCATTCCCACACACATGTTTGTATAGCCTATACCTGAAGCTAGCATTTTTACTCTTTAACTATACCAAGGTTGTTCAGACAGTTGAATAATACGTGTGTACTTAAATAAATGTACTTACCTAATTGTGGTTGCAGGGGTCGATTCATAGCTCCTGGCCCCGCCTCTTCATCATGTGTGTGTGTGTGCGTGTGTGCATAATATGACTCAAATGACATATCGCACTACAGCATTCAGAATCTATTACGATTGTAGAACTCCTAATCTATTTTTTCTTTTGAAGGTGATTGTTCAACACAGGAACAATGTTATAGCATGGGGAACCCTTTTCCCTATTCATTTCCAACTTACATATATAGAATATTTTGAATTTCGTACTATAATGGCTAGTTGCCATGATTTGGTATTGGCAGTTACATGGCATTTTCACCTTTTCGGATTATGATTTGGGAGACTTGACATTTGTTGAATCATAATGAATTAATACCAGCTATTCTTCGCATTTTAGATATTTTAATCATTACAAATTAGCCAATTATAATTAACATTTTATGAACAACCGACACATTCAGCTATTTATATAATTTCTTTAGCCTTCTTGCCACTCAGGTTTATAAAGAACACTGCGTCTAGTCTCCCTCAAACAACACTGGAAATTTATAATCCCATTTATTGAGAGTAAAAAAAAAAAAGAAATATTTTTTTCCAATAATATAAGGCATTAGGCTATCCTGATTGATTTATGTAAGCAGTTTTATGTAATACCAATATTAATTTGTTTAAGCTCAGAAGTAATACCAGGAAAAATACGATGCAAGTGGTAGTTCAATTTCACCAAAGTATAACACAGAAATTGAATATAATCTTTCATTTATCCTTTTCTAATCCCAACAAACATGGCAGTGTCTTTGCTAATCATTTCTTTGGAAAGACTGTTCCTATAATATTCCTTGTAATAACTGTAACTCACTGTATATAAGAAAGACAGTACATTGTCTGAACAAACATAAGCGTGTTGTTATGAAAAGTCTAGAAAAGACTGTCATATTCCAGCGTACGAGTATGAAGCGGTTCCATTGCATGATCAAATAGAATGAAGTTTTATTTACACACAGCTGATTAGTCATACTTTGTTATAAATAAAATTTCTCCCACAGCATAAGTTTGTATCATTATTATTAATGTAATCATGATACTTTGTTAATGATCACTGTATTGTAATTGTTATTTTTCTTGTATTTCTGAGCATTATAGCTTTTGTAACCTTACAGCAAGGATGTCCGTTTGCCAGTTCAGCTGCAACGTGCCATGGCAGCAGAAGCTGAGGCTGCGCGAGAAGCTCGAGCCAAGGTGATTGCTGCTGAAGGTGAACAGCGTGCCTCCAGAGCTCTCAAAGAAGCTGCGGAGGTCATCTCTGAGTCTCCAGCAGCACTCCAGGTGAGCCAACTCCTACGAGTCTTTTACATGCTACTTTCTGTCTTATATCATGAAACATCACTCCACTTTATGCTTTTTGTTTAGTATGGCCATAAGAAGAATAGCGAGTTTACTTCAAAATTTACTTAAGATTACAGGAGGTGGATTTCCGATTTTGCTTTTCTAGTACAATACGCCTTCAGCACTGGTTATATAGATGTATTATTGGATAAATCTACCGCTCAACCATCAGTCAACCCCGTCTTTCTCATTATTTAAGTATAGAAATTGTTTATTGTTGCATCGTGGGAAGCTTCAGCAAATGAACATCGTAACTGGTGGGAAATCATATATTTTAATGATATATAATAATAACAGATTAAAAAATGGTTTACCAGCATTGCTTCCCATATATGAGACTCTTGCAGCATTATTCCCAAGCTCTCAGCATTATTCCCATGCTTTCTGCATTAATATCTTACTCAGTCCGATGCTCACCCCACCCTGGCTGTCTTTCATGTTTGTACAGTTATTATACATTTGTTAATGCCCCATGTTCCATTCATACTATAATAACACAACTCCCAAAAATTATATTTCTAATCCAAATTAACAAGAAAAGTGTACTTTTTATGCAATGCCAGAATGACAAATACATTAGACCACTGGTGAAGTGGTTATTTATATTGTTACATAATCACTCGTAACAGCAAAGTTTAATTAGTAAGGAATTATATTTTAGATTCGTTTCTGGGCACCACATAATGCGATTACAATATAATTCACTTCGACATTTTGGAAAGACCAGAGAATAATTAAGATGATTGAATTGTGTCTTATGATTTATTAAATAATTGTAATATTAAGTATTCGCTGCTCTTAACTAATATCTTTTAACTTACATGTATTCTAATAACATTTTATGCATAGGATTCTTGTTTAACCATGAGAGAAATGGCTAAACTTCATTACATTTAAAAAAAGTGGCTGTTAGTGGTGACCTTAAGTGTGTGAGTGTTATATATATATATATATATATATATATATATATATATATATATATATATATATATATATATATATATATATATATATATATATATATATATATATATATGTCATGCCTAATAGGTAAAACTGGTCAATTAGCAAGAACTCATTTAAAATTAAATCCTTTCTAAAATTTTATTTTAAACGCTTATATTCCTTTGGTGCAAAATTGTAAGTTTTTACATTAACATTAATGAAAAAAAAAATATCTTTAAACGTATAATAGAAAATTTTAGAAAGGTCTTAATTTTAAAATTGAGTTCTTTGCTAATTGACCAGTTATTATAACCTATTAGGCACGATATATATATATATATATATATATATATATATATATATATATATATATATATATATATATATATATATATATATTATTTATATAGGGAAGTACCACCTCTATGGCTGGCCTGGGGACCCTCTTCCTCAGAGAAGACAATAAACGTACCTCAGGGAAAACTCAAGGTTCTCCCCGGAGCTGTTTTGAATATAATATATATATATATATATATTATATATAATATATATATATATATATATATAATATATTATATATATATATATATATATATATTATATATATATATATATATATATGTATGTATGTATCAAGTTATTGGTTTAGCCAATTCTTGAATATTCTACTTTTGTTTTATACTCATAGATATTATGCTTGATTTGTATGTTCTATATTTTAACTGTTCAGATTACTAAGAGATGCATGAGGGTTTTGTCACATATTATTTTTCTCTAATTATGTTCTTATGTTGCTCTACAATTTACAGGATAATATTACGATATGTTATTTTGTATCTCCTCTTCATTGTACTGTAATGACATACATTATAGGCACCACCATCGCGGACCTGCTAATAAAGAGCTAAATAATGAAAAGCTTCAATTTGGCAGTTAGAGTTTAAGGTTTTTACTTCCAGTAAGAGAGGAAATTATCCATATTCTAAACTATCAGATAATATTATTTTTTTTACGCTTTACAAGTCTTTCACCATAATGTCATTTAATTAGAATTATTTTCATAATATAAATAATGGATGCTCTTGAACCACAAAGCAAACTGATATTTATTTTAATGAAACACCTGTCAAACTGTAGAATTACTTTAGCGCCATGTCTATATTTTGGGAATATTTCACTACACTGAACAAGTTTCTTTCAGTACGGACTTGAGAAAGCGTTAACGTGTGTACTTGAAGAAAAACATTGTATCTAAATATTTTATCAATACTGCGTTTTATTTACAAACATATTTTCATGACATAGCCTACATGTATATACATACAAACATATGTTATATAAATATATATATATATATATATTATATATATATTATATATATATATATTATATATATATATATATTATATATATATATATATATATATATATAATATTATATATATATATATATATATTATATATATATATATATAATTATAATATATGCAAACAACCATATAGAAGAAATAGTGAAAAAATAGTTCCTTGATAATGTGAGAAACCACGAAAGCGCCTGGAATATCACCATTTTTTCACAGTGGTTGTTCTACATAATGTGATATCACCTATTTACTGTGGTTTTATTGCATGTATTATATATATAATATATATATATATATATATATTATATATATATATATATATATATATATATATTTTATATATATATATATATATATATATATATATAAATATATATATATATATATATATATATATATATGTTGTTATGTGTGTTATGTGTGTGTGTGTTGATGTGTGTGTGTGTGTGTGTGTGTGTGTGCATGTGTGTGTGTGTGCGTGTGTGTGTGTACGTGTGCGTATGTGTGTGTGTGTATGTGTGGTGTGTGTGTGTGTGTGTGTGTGTGTGTGTGTGTGTGTGTGTGTGTGTGTGTGTGTGTGTGTGTGTGTGTGAGTGTAATTTTTGGTTATATAGAGTAGGAAATGATAGCTTGTTTTTGCATAATCTTCAAAGATGTAGCGGCTTATCTTATACAGTAGTTGCTGTTCTGATCCCTTCTTAGAATTATTGCCCAATACATTATCATTATCACATTGCATTATCACTCTCACATTACGTCTTGCTCATTTTTCATTGTCATTATGAGACTTTTGCTACCATTGTCATTTTCTCTACAACTATCACTTTAAGTTATACTCAGATTGCATTGCCATTATTGTCATTGCATTTTCATCATTATTAATCTTACCAGTTCTGCCATCTTTGCTCTAGTTTCTTATTAATCTTATTCTTCAAATTCACCCAACCATTCGTGTTTACATTCTCACCACATCACTTGGAAAGTCTCCATCATAAACTTAAACGTCTTCAGGACCTTTAACATTCACCATTAACTTTCTTATGCCCACTGTTATATCACGGTACCCCCAGCTGGTTAATAACTATCTTAACTGTTACCAGGGCATAGCTGAGAGGAAGTGGGCCCTCAGTGCAGGGTCGAATTAAATAATTTTTACATTGACCGCTTTCCTGTAGACATAAGCCTTATAGTGGTTTTCTTATTCGAAAGAAAATTAATTCGATGAATATTCTTTGTATTCAGAGAGAACAAGACCAAAGCAATTACAGTTAGGTTAATTTTCTTGATACTTGAAACTCTCATTTTATATTTCTATAAATTGTTTACTACATTTCCCACCAAAGAAGAGTGACCCTAAAAAAACGGAAACACACCATAATTTGTTCAATAACTCTCTTACCTCAAGTGCGCGGACATCAAAATTCACTGCGCCTAATACTCGCTGAGTAGGCCCAGTGAACCTACTAAGCAAATATGTATTTTATGAAAGATTCTTTGGCTTGGTATCATCAGAGCCAAAGACATTCTAAGTTGATGGGGAAGTTGACAGGTGGCGGTGCTGGCAGCAACATACTAGCCTCATGTAGCCTTGTTTTTATATATGTCTCTCAATCACCACATACGAATATAGCCAAATTTGGTAATAATCTTAAAGACATAATCATAAACAATGAACTAAATAGCATCACTTAATAACTGGTGAAGATTTAACTTCAACTACATTCAGTCATAAGACTTGCAAGTAGCTGGTCTCCTAAGAGTTGTATATAACTGCATACATCTATAAAAAATATAATTACTAATCTAAAAACAGGCATTACCACCGATGATACAGCCATCTTGGACACAAATATATCAAAATTACCAGTTAATACAAGTAAAATTTCATTCAGTCTCAGTGATAAAACATAAGCGAATTTTTTTTCCATAGCAATCAGTAACGCTGACAGCGTGAATTTAATAAGATGTCCATGCATGCCTACAAAAAAAATCAAAGAGCCACAATAAATATTATTCTTTTAAAACAAAATGCATCACAACCGAGACACTAAATAGCCCATGACTGGCTAACAACTTCCTCCTATTTATGGACAAATAGTGTAAGTGAAAAACAGTACAGACTAGGCTTAATGTCCAAGGTAACTGCAAAAAGAAAAAAAATAACATTAGACAGCACTGAACAAGTTAATAAAACAGTCCAGATACTGTATTATGCTAGAAGGGTCAAAGCAACAAAAGGAGATATGATAACACCTTCAAACATCGGGTTCAAGTAAATTCACTAAGATCAAAGAACCTTTACTAACTAAATCAAATGATCCTCACATCCTAATTGTTGAAATGGAAAATACACTAGAAACTTCTTTTCGACTGAAGGATCAAACCTTGCCAGCAAAATCTGAACTCTAATCCTAAAGTTAGGGACACCCTGGGGCTCCCTGAGACTCCCTGGTGCTTCCTTACTGAAAAGTTAACCAAACTTTCTGTACATATTCCCAACTAATTCCTAAACCTTAAATTTGCTAAAAATCAGAAGTGGACACGAAGCCAATATAGGAGGACGCTGCTTATGTGCTATCACTTACCATTGCAGAATGGTTCTATTAATCATTAGAAACAATTCAAAACTTT